ACGAACCTGATCCGAATCTGGGATGGGCACCTCAAGATCCATGTTGTCTGATGGCATGCTCGGGGCACCAAAATGCTGATGACTGGTCCAATTGCAAAGCAAGACCGGACAAGAAGCACGTTGGAAATGGGTGCGCAAGGCCACCTCCATAGTGAACTGAGTGTGACAGTGCTTGCATGCAAGATGACCCCTATGCATGTCCTGGACCGGATCAAAGGGGAAACCATCAGGCCTGTGGACATCATGATATTTCCGAAGATGGCTGATGAGGGCTTTACGGCCTACGTAGTCTTGACACAAAGGGCATCTATACATCTTTGCGGGCTCCGGGCAGGGTCCATCAGGATGAGAAGCGAGCATCAATTTCACTGTGACCTTGGCAGTGCGAGGTTCGGATCCCGATGGGGCCGATGTGGTCTGGTCAAGCGGACGATCCATCTGAGCATGCTTCGGGTGCTTTTGATGATGAGTGATCAGTCCAATCTCGGTCAGGAAGGTGGTATGACAAGCAAGACATTTGAACAGAGGGGTTGATCGAGTACTTGGACCAGCCCCTTCGGTGTCGTCATCAACCTCCATCGGAGTCGGCCGTGTGTCGGATGGAGGCACCAGGGGGGCAGCTTCACTGGGAGTCTCGGGCTTGTCTGCATGTCCTGTACCTGATGACGGTCGGTTGGCCCGAAGCGGGCGCATCATCGTGGGCATGACAGGGAAATGCGAAACATCATATGTCTGTCCAAGCAGAATGCTAATCTGAAGCAAGACTCCACATTTGTGTGTGCGAACATCATTGCATTGTTGCTCACACAAGACACACGTTCCTTTTCCACTACCTAGATTAGCAAGGCCATACACTTGATCGCGATGCAATGCTTCATAAACCAAAAGACCTTGATGTCGTTCTCCATAGTGTTTACGAATGGAGCGAGCAGGCACGGCAAGGTGACAAAAGACACAGTGGTGTGCAATTTCACAGACCAGGGCTTTGTCCAGTAGAATACCTGGGATGGACTTGTAGCGCAAATGCATTCTCAATGACTGGCGGTCAGCAATCGGCACGATGGTCTCCTTGTGCGGATCAAACTGGAGACAAACTCTGGCATTGATATGATATCTAAGGCGATATATATCAGCAAATTGCTTATGACAGTGTCTACATGTTGCCTTCCCTTCAAAAGAATCACGCAGGGGATCAAACAAATCTTCAATGTGGCAGGGAATCTGGTGTGCAGTACGCATATGTCGTTTCCAGGGTCCTGCCTGATGAAAAGCTCGATCACACTCTGGACATTTGAGTTCAGGTGCCTGAGAGAACGAGAGTGAAGCCGTGGGTTCATGTTGTAATTGGTTATCAGGGTAGGCTGGGGTCAAAACGCATATATCTTGCTGACCAGTCTGCATGGCTTCACGGATCAGGATGTCACGACGTCGACTCAGGGAGTCGTTCAGACGAGTTTGTTGTCGAACAAAATAGCACCATGGAGGTTCAATGTGCATACGTGAATAGAAGGCCGTGTTGGTTTCACGGGTGAGGTGCACAGGGGATCGGGTCATGGTCCTATGATGTTTGGTTATCATGCCATTAATCATCTGAAAATTGCGAGTTGAAATCCCCATCTCGTGGATGCCATATGAGACTGTGGGTAAAACACATTGGTTATACAACCTAAGACGAATTGACAATGGATGATGCTGATCCAGGAGCCATTGCCTCAAGATGCGGAAGCAAACATTTGCAGCTTTGATTCTGCGAACAATGGTGTCATGATCAAATGCGCGATAGCTCAATGTGACACCTAGGTAGTCTGTCCTACTGACAAGAGGAAGGCTTAAGGATTGATCTGGCAGGTGCAAACGAGGTCCTTCTTTTGTTCTCGACGTCCATCGTTTCAAAAACGCCTGAGCGGACTTTCCCACAAGGCGCATGATGGCAACACTTTTGGTCAGATTGACCCTGAAATGGAAAGCCTTGAGCGTACCCAGCACCACAGTTAGTTCATGTAAGGCCGACAGGCCCGAGGCTGGACTATCTATGAGCCACCTGAGGTGAATGTCGTCTGCGTAGATGATAATGTGGGAAATGATCCAGGGCAGATCGAAACAGGCCATCAAGTGGTCAAGGAGCAGGTACATGCTCAAGGTCCATAGCAAAGGGGCATCTTTGGACCCCTGTTTTATACCCCGGCTGGCTGTGACGTGTCCGATTAAATCTTTATGGGGTATGCAGTACTTATGTTTGTGTTGCCAAGACTGAACTAGGAGTTGAAGGTCTGGGTGCATCTCGAATCGTTGGATGGCTCGAAGTACCAAGTTTCGGTCAATGGCATCAAAAGCCTTCTCAAGATCGAGTGAGACCTGAAGGCCACCCCACAGTCCAGACTTAGATGGATCACTTTTGTGGTCCTGGCACAGTGCTTTGACCTGTCGACAGTGGTCAGAAGTCAGCAGGAGACAGTCCTGTGTGCCGCGGTGCGGTAGGTAGGCGTACAGGGGGGACCCGGCAAAGGGAAGGAAGTGCATGTTCCAACACTTGTGCACAATGAATGCCTGAGAGGACTTTACTGACTGGGTGCTGTAGACATATTGGTCGAAGCGCAGCAGGATGATTGGGAGGTTTATGGGGCTTACTGAGGAGATGCAGCCATCCAGTGGCCCAACGTGAGGGGGGAATACCCGACTGAGTCCAGGCGCATTCGATGGCGGGGTAAACAACTGCTGCAATGTCGTGTGCGAATACTTTCCAAATCAGTCCCGGCATCCCGTCCGGAGCAAGTGCCTTCGTAGCAGGAAGTTTGGAGAGGCCCATTGCAACCTGATCCTGAGTGAATGGGATGGAGTTCAACGGAGCAGGTGCTAACTCAAAATGCTCATCATGGAACATAGTGCCAAAGTGATCAACAAGGACAGCTAGTTCCTGGTGCGGAAGAAGAGGGGCGCCAAATCTATCATGCAATTGTATCTTACGAAAAGGCTGCTTAGGACAGAGTTTACGGATGTTGCGATACCAATCATGCATACGATTAGACAAAGCATGGGGAACATTCTCCTTCAAGAATTGTTCAAGCTTGTGTCGTTTGTTGATCTTACCAAATTTACGAATCTGAGCATGCAAACGCGCAAAGATGGTGAGGTGTTTCCAACTGTGGAATAGTGTGCGAACATGAACGTACAGAACCTGTCTAGCCTGTCGACGTGCATGCCACATACGGGCCGTGAGGGAGACCACAGTCTTGTCAGAAGAAAAATGTTTTTTCTGACGTGGAAAATGCTCAAGACACAATTCTCTAAGATCATGTTCCATGGAATAGCAGTTTTCAATCGGACAATTCAGGCTAGGTGACTGATGTCTGAGGATACAGCTCTGGGCTGCCACGACAAAGTGTCTCCATGCTGTTGTGTCAGCGATCATCTCCTGTCGAATTCGAAATCGATCGATAGAAACAGGTTTCGAAGGTACGGATCTGATCGGATGCCACCGGGGAAGGCCAAGGAGTAACGGACGATGTTGTGGTCCCTGATGCAAACCAATGCGCTCAAACCGACAGTCAATTGAAGCAGTTATGTGTTTCCACCTAATCTGATTGGATCGCATGAAAGCGAAGTCGATTCTGGTCTGATGACAACCATGCAGAAAGGTGGGTACGTATTTCTGCTTGCAATGAACTGCAACCAAGGATAATTCACTAATCATGAGTTGGAAGTCATGTTTATCTATTTGAAGTGCCTGGTCAAAGGGTGGATCATGATTACCAATGGATTGCGAATCGCGTTGTAGCGGACAATTGAAGTCCCCTATAACTACCATCATGTGGCTTTGAGGAGTATGTTGAATACACTGACGGAGTTTCCCCCACAGGTCCTGCCTTTCTTGTAACAGAGCACGGCTTGACTTGGTCGTGCTCCAGGCCGTCTGATATATTGTGTACAAATCATGGACCCTGTCTAGCATCAAGCGAATATGCAACAATCTTCCTAGAATCAACACCGCATACGCCAACATGGATGCTCGGATCAGTGTTTTGCGGATCATGATAAGCTGGCTCGCAGCGGCCTCTTGAGAGTGAATGCAATACCAATGTTCAATTTCCCATTGTTCATTAAACTTCCAGTTGGATTCTTGAATCAAAAGTACATCTTCGGGTCGGCCCGTGGCCCAGACTAACCATTCATGGTAACTCAAGCATCTGGTGGCATTCCAAGAAAGAATCTTCAAAACAACACCAGATTGTTGTGCCTGTCGAGATTGAGGTTACAGTGTTGACCTCTATATTTCAGCCTTCAAAAGACCTCGCAACCGAAAAGGCACGTCGGATAGCATCTGCTATAGTAACTAGTGTATCCAATTTGTAATGCATGTTTGCATGCCCTGCGAAATGAACGCTTAATACGTCGTATTCGAGATTAGTGCACCAACTGGCCGTAGCCAAAACTGGCCGTAGCCAAACATCGCCCAGATTTCACTGGCTTTCGTGCATGTCTTAGTAGGTGCATGGGAGTGCATTGCACTTTCGCCAACCCGTGCAGAAAGGTTAGCAACCCTCACGCCAAGCTTAAATCCTTATAAGACAAAAAGTGGAGCATCTAGGTTCAAGCCTCCCAAACTTAGGACCGAGAAATCCAATTCTATAAACATCTAGTGCATCAAAGCAGCTATGGTGAATATCGGAAAGAACCACATGCCAATCTATGGAACGAAAACCACAAGATCCATGGCAGTTGGCCCCCAGACACGACCGCGGACTCTTAAACTGGAAATGGCGCTTTATATTAAATTCAATTTAAACAAATATTCAAGATATAAATCAATATATATAAATATTTCGATTAATAAATATATCCATTAAGATTTTAATAATCCAAACATAACATAATTCAATTACATACTATAATTCTAATTTTAATTGCTATAGAACCATAGAAATTATTCAATTGTTCTTTCCATTTAGAATTTAATTTACATATTGTAATTTTAAAATATTTCATCAATAGAATTGAAATCGTATTTGTTCATCTTTATTCCTGGCATGGTCATAAATATTATGATAATAACTGAATAATGCATAAAAATAATGTGTCGGTCCTCCAATTCAACAATTCCTCCGATCTCCACAGCAACACCTGATGACGTGACTTTGGAAAAACACAAGGGCAACGTAAAACGGCGTAAATTGAAACCAATTGAAACTTCTGGAACATGCAAAATTGAAATAAACATGAATGATCCAAAAACGCCATGCTAGTGGAATGAGCTATCAATGTTCAAAGGAATTCGAGGGCCGAGCCAAGTGGAAGTGAGCTGCATCCCACAGCAAAGCGACTGTGAGCGCCAACCTGTGTGAAGTACTTCCAAAAACAACAAACATCTTGTCAAAGGAGACATTTGTCCCCCTCCATGTCCCTCTGTCTCTTCTTCAACCCAGGACCAAAAGGCCGCCCTCCTTTGTTCACCCAGCCAGCCGCATGACCTCTGTCCCAAAGATCTCCACCAACAGGTCTGAGCAGCCATTCACTACCTTGACTCAATCTGGGAAAAAGAGCATCACATAATACACTGTAGCATATATATCCAACAAACAAGGATGACACACTTTGAACAACCACGCAACTTCTTTTCCGGCTTCTCTGAAACTGTTTCTTTCGCATTGTTGAACCAAATTCGCCAAGCCGCCTGTGGATGATCAACAAAGTCGGGTGTGCAGCTCACAAAGCCCTCGCTCAGCGTGCAAATATGTCCATGGAGGCTTTTGCTGTTCAATATGAACTCTTCAAAACAGCCTGGAATGCCGTTGCGAATGGCTTAAGCTTTCTCGTCTCTGATGGCTTAAGTCCGGATGCTCCATTTTGACTTCGATTTACAAACCAACCCAGAAGGCCTCGACTTTGACAACTCGCTTCACCTGCATGCGCCATGTACTATCTCTCAATGTTTTGGCCTATCTTTGCACCCTTGCGCAATTTTTCTTCACACGCAATTGCGCAAAAGCTTTGTGGAGACAAAGTGCTTGGACACGGAACGTTTTTTTGGAGTCTTGGACCCCTCTCTCTCTCTCTCTTCCCCTCTCTTTCTGTTGAGCACCTTGTCCAAGTCTCCACAAGCAGCCTTCATCTGACCTTGCTTCTCAAACAGAACAGACCAAAAGCATCTAAAAGCAAAAAAACAACAATGCCGAATTTCACTCATATCCTGTGCTTTTCAATCAGTCCTACATCAGCGTATCTGTTTCTGTTTAAGACTCAACTGATGTCGCACCGAATAAAGACTTGAGAGAATCCTCAGAGCCGGGGGGCATATAAAGATTGCATGTAAAGATCTCTAGTTTGGGACAGAACTGTGTCGGACCTGGCAGTGCCTTGAAACAAAGAGATGCGTCCTCTGTCCTCTCAGATTGTACAGACCAAGGTCTCTGGGGAGCAAACCTACCAAGTGAAGCCCACAAAGCCGGGCTGCTGCCTGAGGATGATCAGGATTGAACTGAGGATGCTTTGGGTGAGTTCGCTTCTTTTTCTATCAATGTCACAGAAAACTCTGACGCCAAAAGCGGAGTTCTGGCGTCAACCCCAGCGTTCAACAACAAGCTATGGGATGATAGCGGCCATAGTTGCCAATCTTCACTTTTTCATCTGTTAACGCCACATTTTGCGGAGCCTCCACAAAAAACAACCTACCACAAGCAAGAGGCAAATTTTGCTCTGCATGAACTGATGTGTGTTGGTGCGAACCTTGCCCTCCTCAAGACTGTAGCTGGCACCCAGCTGGCCTGCAAACAGAGCTGCCAGTGTTGGAAGCGTGTCTCTCTCTCTCTCTCTTTCTCTGTGCCTTTTTCTTGCATCCAAACAATTTCAACTCAGGCGAAACATGCTTTTCCTTCCTTGGTCAGCCGATTCAGCATGATAAACGAACCTGTAAGATAGACTCATGAATTGGCATGAGCACATCACTGGAAGGCAGTTCGGGTTCAAGGGAAGACATGATTGCCTCAGGATCGTAAAGGAACTGGCCTTTCAGCAAGGAATTGTCAGGCTGTTTCGGGATCTGCCCAGAGATGAAGAGCAAGTTGCCACTTCCTCAGCCAAAGGAAGTGGAAACAATGCAAAGCCCAGGTCTCCGAACGATATTTTTGAAGTTCATCAGAAGTAAGTCCGGAAATCGATTTTTGGGAGGGCACAAAGCCCAGGATGGCAGTCAAAAGCTTGGCTCTTCCAAAAGAAAAGACACCTCGCCAAAGTCAGCCTGGCCGTCGAAGCCCAATCCATCTCCCACGGAGTCCGTTGCTCTGACACTACATCTTTGACCATCAGGAGCCTGACGCACTGAGGGCACATAGTTTGCTGCGGGTGCTGCCGCTTCAGGTACCGCCAGCCTGCTGGCGGTCAAGTAGCAATGACCGAACCAAGTCTCAAAGTACTGAACCAAGAAGACTCCAACATACTCCAACTACCAGGACGTGGATCCAAACACATCAAGAGACACGAAACCACTCCACAATGCATGGCGATCGCAGTGGCATTGATAAAGCCCTAGCGGCCCTAGCGCCCCCCACCCGAGCTCCATCAGCCGCTGCTCCACGCGGCCGCATTTTAGTGCTGAGCGGAGCATCTGTGCGGAGTTGAAGGAAACATCGACGGACTCGATCTGAAGCAATGATTCTGTCAGGGGATTTTTCATCGGGGACGCGGTTTTGCGGCCAAGTTTTTCGTGAAAAAGCGGCCCACCTCCACGCTTCCAATCTTGACTGTTCAATGAGCCAGCCACAATGCTGCAATGCTGGCTTCACAGCTATTGTTCAACCAGTACATAGTGACATAGTGGTGTCACAATTTTGACCTCACTTCCAGCATATGCTCAGTGCGTGGCCTCTGGACTGTCAGTCGGTGCCCCCTGGCAGAGACCGAAGTGCACGCTGTCTTGCAAGTCTCCCAAACTGCATTTTCTCCTTCCAAACGGTACTTGGCGGAGTGGCAAGAGAAAAGGGATAACGCATTGTTGAACAAGCGGAACACTTTCTGTTTTCACAGGAGAAATTGATGAACACTCTGCTGTTTGTCGAAACACAATACACAATTAAACACAATATAGTGGCGTCATGCAGCTTCGTAAGGCGGCTTGGGCTGTCCATATCGCTTTTCTCTGATCGCAGCAGGCCTTCTCAGGTGGAAGTGATTGCGCCATGCTCTGCCCAGGTGAGCCGAGAATGCAAAAAGGAGCCAACAAGACGCGATTGAACACTCAACGTAAGAGTAGTGATTGAACACTCAACCATCCCAACCCCCCAAAGAATTACAGCTTTCAATTGCCGCTGGGTGACAGCACACAGCGCGTGGGTGGGGTCTTCAACACTTTCGTAACTTTCCAGTAGACTGCCCAGTACTATGTAGCTGATGAAGATTGTCCAACATTCAATAGATCACCACTTGATTCTACTGTAAAGACTTGTAAAGCATGACATGCGGATTGGATAGCTTGATACTCTGTGCAATCTGCCTTCTAGAGCTGAGCTGGCTCTGAGGGCACTTCTCTTTTCTCGGGTGAGATGTGATGCTGGAACCAGGACCACCTGTCGATTGCCAGCTGGTTCCCCACGCCACAAACCGCCGCGGTTTCCGCTGTGATTCCGCCTTCAGCTTTTGGCCATGGGCTATAATCTCCTCTTTGTCACAGGTGCGATGTGATTTTCCCCACTACTTCTACAATACAAGGCTAATTTCTTTCCACCGCTTACCTCCTGGGCCTGGATCTGCACTTGGAGGGTGGCCTTGTTGGACAGAACACTTGAGACGTCCCTCACTTCATAAGCGAGGTGAGTTCCTTTTTTATGTAGCTGGGGTGGAAGAGAGTAATGTACCCATGGGAACTGCGTGAATCACAGCAAATCTGATAAGCTGTGCAGCAGTCGAATTTTTGTGACACTGGAGTTGAACCAACCAGGAGCTATCTCTCGGTCAGATGGCGCTGATGAAAGCCGGCAAATGCTTCGACTGCACACCTGGAAGAGAGGCTATGCTACTAGCGATGGCCTCCAGCCTACTAGCGATGGCCAAAAGCCACAATTTCTGTTTCATACTGAACACATGACCAAACCTGCGACTCCCCAGGTCTGTATAGTGTTTCTGGCCACCCCGGGCAATGTCAGAATGTATCTATGATAATCTTCAGCACGGCTTGCTACTGTGTGAAATTCTGGTGTCTCGTGGCTAAACAACAAAGTGAACGAAAAGAACCAGCAAACGGTGAAAGCTCCCTACCAGTCTACCTAGCAACTAGCTAGTTTCTCTAAGAAGTTGCGACTGATTCCCCTTTGCAGTCGATTCGAGCAGCGTCTTTTGGCCAACGACCTTTGCGACGTCAAACCGAACAAGCAGGCATGGCTTCGTGTAGCCCAGCGAAAGCAGCAAGTCCTCAGCCACAAAGGTTGAAAGCTTCTTGCTCCTAGTAGTAAGGCGAGGAGCCCCCTAGTAGCGTCCTTGCTCCTAGTAGCGATGCCAGGAGCCCCTAGTAGCTTCTTGTTCCTAGGCAAACAAGTTCGACTGATATCTCCGCAAATTCTCTTCAACTGTCCAAGAGCACAAGATCTTTTTTGATCCATCTGTCAGTCTTTCTGAACAGCTCGACCCCGTTGAACCGAGTGGCTGCGTGCAATGCCAAGATCAATCCAGCCGCCTCGGCCGGTCTAATCTGCAGTCTTCAGGTAAAGTCTGTATTGGGTTGTTCATCGAGAGGCCTTGTTGGTCGTCACCGTGAGGAGTGGAAACTTCAAGACCAAACACCATAAGCAACTTGAGTCTCGATCATGAAACTGATTCTACAAGCAGCTGAGCTGATGCCTCTTCCACAACTTTGTTGGATTTCCAAGACAGCGAGAATCCCCTTCATTCGCATCCTGCTGAGATATCTTTGCTCCCCAACAAACATGACTAGCAAGACTTGATGTACCTCTGCAAGCGAACCCCAACTCTTGCCCCTCCATGCTAAGTCGAAGACTCCGTAAACTGCAAAAGCTCTGGTCATCGTGCTGGCAAAACAGGCAAACACTTGGAAGGATCAGCAAAAGCCGCAAGTCAAGGAGACAAGCTATCATACACAAAGAGATAGAAAAGCTTGCTGACAGGTATCAACACAAAATGGGCCTTTGAACTGTGCCCCTCTATCAAATGCAAATATGGTTCTGTGATCTTAAAGCCTTCTAGCCTTGTCTTGATTGCTAGGGAGGAGAACATAAAGCTTTTGACTCTTGACGTGAGGGATAGTGACGTCTCGCATTGGTCGGTCGCCTACTTCTGCCTTCCTTCTGCTCGCTTGCCATTGGGCTCACGTACTTCATGAGGCCTCTATCAGATCGGATGGTCAACATGCAAAAAAACTCGACACCGGTCAACATGCAGAAAGGCTTCACGGTGCTTCCTTCTGGGTTCAATACATCAACCGGTCGTGTGGCCAACCGGACGGAACGAATGTGGCCTAGTGCAGCGAGCAGCACGAAAATGAACCGAAGTGGGCACATCTCTCCTGGTGGAGGCAAACACCAAATCATGGTCTGGACCAGGTGGAGACACCAACTCCTTTCTATCAAAGAGAGAAAACAACACACAACTAGGTTGGAGGCCCTTACAATTAGGTTGGAGGCCATCGCTGTTAGGTTGGAGGCCATTACAATTAGGTTGGAGGCCATCGCTGTTAGGTTGGAGGCCATTACAATTAGG